CAGCATAAAGACAATGGTGCAGATAGTGTTAACAGAACAGCTACATTAATTGACTAAATATAAATATCCTGGAAATAAACCACAATTTTTGTTATATTATTTTGTCTTTTTCTAAAATTTCTAATCCACTGGTAGCCTCAGCCTCTCATCAACGTCCTTTGTCTTTTCTTCTATATCTGTACCCCAAGCACACACTTCCAGCTATGTCAGTCCCCTTTATACGAAAGGGAATGCCCTAAGTTGTCAACTGGTTAGCCTCTTAAGAACCAATATTGTCATGGCTGCTGAGTCAGAAATTGAAAAAAGGATGTACCGAATATGACCAAGGTGGTGTTCTACTCAAACTGAGGAGGATCAGAGCAGAGGAGTTGTGTGCAGGATTTTCCCTACTACCTTTTAATTTCTCAGTCTGAAGCTTTCTAATGAGGTCTTCAAGTGCTGGAATACCTTTGAACAATTCCATTAGTTTTTACACACAGCCAGCACCTTGGAACTTTTTTTTCCATCAAGTCAGCAATCTTAATTCTGTTATATTCATCTTCCAATTTTTTAGTCAATTTTAAGTCATGGGCCAGTAAAGATTAATTATGTGAAATTCATAACCATCAATGGCCTCTAATCCTACCAGTAGAACAATTTTCTTGTATTCATTCACCATATCTCAAATTATAGCACAACCTACAAGAGAAAAATGACAAACAGTGTTACACATGTTACGGACAATTTAATAGACTGAACGTGCCTGCATGAATGAGTGGGCTATGTGAAAGTGCTGTTCTTGGATGTGTATGAGAAAGAGGGACTAAATTGCCAAATGTGTCACTGTGGAAAATAGATGAAGGACTGCTGCACTAGGGAATGCAAACCAGTTCTTCCCCTTTCATGATGATGTCTGAGTTGCCTCATGGTGGGTGTGGTGGAATCATGTCTGGAAACAGGCAATTCTTGCAGTGTTTAGGGTATGGGTGTGTACTGTCAAAGTCTCTGGTTCCTCTTCCCATCCTTTATTGGGGGGGTGCAGCCTATCCTCCAGTGTCTGCAAGTTAGTTGTAGATGCTTCACATACTCACTATGACTAAGGTGGTCTGTGTGCAAAATGGGCTGTAGCCTTGAATCTTATACAGATCCCCTCCTGCCATAGCACTACAGTTCCATACTGGAGTACTGACCCTTGTCCACTTGGCTCTTCCCTGATCAGCTCTCATTAGCACCCTCTCTCCCTGAGTCTTTAACCTTGTTCTCTGTCTTCTGCGTCCATGTCACTGTCATTTTCCTGGACTTCTATTTGCTTCCTAGTGCAGAGTTGCAGCACTTATTTTTTAACCTCTTTTTTTTTTTTTTTTTGGTGGCTGGCCAGTATGGGGATCCAGCCCTGTGATCTTCATGTTATAAGGCTGCACTCTAACCAACTGAGCTAACTGGCCAGGCTTTAGTGCCCGGTGAATTGGACAAGAACTTTATTTGCAAGAATGGCTTTTATAAGCTTTTTAGGAAAATATAAATAGAATAAATATGTAGCTTCGGAAATGGGATTCTTCATTCTATATTAAAGATTTCTGAACTTAAGACATGATACTTACTTATATCCTTAACATTTTCAAAATTAGCACTGGTGACCAAGAAAAAAAAGAACAAACGACACAGGATTCTGACAAATGATGAATTACTATATGATCCTGAAAAAGATAACAGAGATCAGGCCTGGGTTGATGCACAGAGAATGGGGTAAGAACTTAAATTTAACATTTAGAATCTTTAGGAAAAAATGATTTAAAGATGATTTTCACCACATTCACATTTTGAATGTATGTGTATATGTATATACACACACACAAAGAACTTTGAGAAAAAAACTGCTGAATAGTTTATTTTGAAAATAACCAGCAAATTTCAGACAATTGATTTTTAAAAACTTGTTGAATCAAACTACTCTAGTCAGTTTCTCTATTCTAGAAACAAAACTGACTTTTTTCAAACAGACACAATTTTAAATTACTTTGAAATGAAGAGTTTATGTGGATGAAGAGTGGATGTTATGTTTAAGCACCTGAATTATTCTTTTAACTATTTACAAATTTGATTTTTAAAAATTGAGGTGAAATTCACATAACATAAAATTAATCTTTTTTTTTTTTTTTTTTTTTTTTGGTGGCTGGCCAGTATGGAGATCTGAACCCTTGACCTTGGTGTTATAACACTGTGTTGTAACCAATTGAACTAACTGGCCAGCCCTAAAGTTAACCATTTTAAAGTGAACAATTCAGTGGTATTTCATACCATCACAGTGTAGGGAAGCCACCACCTCTATCTAGTTTCAAATCGTTTTCATCATTCCAAGAGGAAACCCTTGTACCATCAAGTAGTTTCCCTTCCCCCACCCTGCCCCCCCAACCTGGTAATCACTGGATCTGTGTTCTATCTCTATAGACTTAACATATTCTGGATATTTCATGTAAACAGGATATACAACATGTGACCTTTTATATCTGGCTTCTTTCACTGAGCATAATGTTTTTGAGGTTCATCTATGTTGTAGCATGTATTAGTACTTCTTTCATTTTTATGACTGAATGATGTGTAATTGTATGTTTATAACACAATTTGTTTATCCACTCATCCATTGAGGGAAATTTGGGTTGTTTCCACTTTTGACTGCTGTGAATAGTGTTGCTGTGAACATCTGTTTCAGTCCCTGCTTTCATTTATTTTGGGTCTATACCTAGGAGTGGAATTGCTGGATCATATGCTAATTCTATATTTAACTTTTTTTTTTTTCCTTTTTGTCTTTTTTACTGACTGGTAACGGGATCGCAACCCTCGGTGTCGCGCCCGTACCGGGGACCGGAAACGGGATCGCAACCCTCGGTGTTGCGCCCGCACCGCGCTCAGCGCAATAGAAGGAGGAAACGCGGCACATAAGGACCGTCGTAGTAAAACTAAGGAATATTAACAAGAAAGTGGAAATTCTGAAAGCTTCCAGAAATACTGAGAAGAACACCTACAAATACTAAATAATCTGATTGGAACTGATTCTCAAATAGCCAACAGTCTGCAGATGGCCAAGAGGGTAATTTTTATATAGTACTGGTCCAAAATTTCATACTTGCAATTTCAAAGCTTAAGAAACTAAAAAATAATTTTTGAGTGTGCATGTGTGTGGGTGGGGTTGGGTACGAGTGGGAGTAAAGAGAGAAGGGCAGAAACAAAATATATTTGCAAACTATGAAGATTATGTGAAGTGATGTGTGGCTATTTAAAATCCCTTCTCTCATCTCACTTTCATGTGAATGGTTACATGGCTTGTTGCAAAAATGTTAATGTATTTGACTTTGGAGTGCTAATCTAACCTCCACTGAGGCTGTATGTAAAGTATATGCATTAAACAGCCTTTCTAAAGCACCCAAATAATGAATTATAAAATGTAACTTGTTTCAAAGGTTTCAGATGAAGAGCTAAGAAGTAGTACTCAAGCAGAAATATTTTTTAAACTAGAATTTTGTATCTGGCCAAATGTTATTTTGGCTTTTAAAAAATTATTCTGTTACTGACTGAGAGTGACATCAGCCAGATGGAAGACAAGGAGGTTCAAGACCCTCATTCTTCCATGAAAACGTCATATAAAGTACAATAGATTGATCAAAGTACCTTTGTCAGAACTCTAGAAACCAGTTAAGAAACTGTAACAACAAAGCAAATTTCAAACCAAGAAAAAGCTACTCTCAAAATGGTAGAACATTTCTAGGTGTTTTTGCTTCTCCTTGGCCCAGGCCCTCTCTGGTATGGTGTGGTATGATCAGGAGAAAACCATCTAATTCCTGGTTCCTCCCTTGAATAAAAGGAAGGGTGGTAGGACTGCTTAAAACATGCTGTTGTGTCTGAGGGGTACTTGAGGAAATAGTTTCTGTCTCCCATGACTTGGAGCATTAACGGGAATGGTGGCATAGTTTGGATGTCAAGTGTGATCTGCTTAAAGCAGGGTTTGAGGTTACTGCAGCCTGTGAGAACCGCATGGAGTCTGCTGCCCTGTGGGCACCAGGGGGCCAGAGATTATGAATAGAGGAATATAATAGAACATCTAAGGCTGTGAGAAGCAGAGTGAGACTGCTAGGGACATTAAGACATAAAATCAATGATATGTGAGGAAATTGTAAGAAAAGCATGCACACATACAAGCCACATGTCCAGAGAAGGGAAGACACATGTCCAGAGGTGGCCTGTGAGGGTCTTTAGACTTCATACTAAGCTGACTAGTAAAAGTCTTCCTCTGCATAAAGCCAGTCCATAAAGACTGGGAGAGATAGATGTTTTTTCAAATGTCCAAATTTAAACCAAAGTCACAATGTATACTATGAAAAATGTAAACATGGCCCTTTTTTAAAGAGCAAAATACATCTCAAGAAACCTAAAGAAACACAGGCCTCAGTCTTATTTGACAAGCACTTTGAAACAACTATCTTAAATATGCTCAATGGGCTGAAAGAGAACATAAATAGACAAATAAGCAAAATCAGAAAAATGATATATGGACAGAATGAGAATATCAACAGAAAACAGAAATTATAAAAAGAACCAACAGAAATTCTGTAGCTTAAAAATATATTAAGTAAATTTAAAAATTCACTAGAGAAGTTCCACAGCACACACAAACAGGCAGAAGAATCAGTGAGCTTAATAAAAGACAGGTCATATGAAATTATCAAGGCTGAGGAACAAAAATAAAAGAATATACAAAAGTGAATAGAACATAAGGGATGTACAAGATATCATCAAGTGGGCCAATATGTGCATTACGGGAGTTCAAAACGAAGATAAAAAAGAGAAAGGACAGAGAATATTTGAAGAAATAATGGCTGGAAGTCTCTCAAATTTGAGGAAAGACATAGCTATACAGATGCAAGATGCTTAATGATCTCCATGTAAGGTAAATTCAAGGAAAACCACACCATGACACATATTAGTAAACTACCAAAACTCAAAGACAAAAAAAAAATTTCTAAAAGCAGCTAGAGTGAAGTGGCTCATCATATATAGGAAATCTTCAGTGAGATTATCAGAAGATTTGTCACCAGAAACTTTGCCGGCCAGAAGGTAGCAAGACAATGTATAAAAATGCTGAATGGTAAAACAAAGCATTTCTGTTTTTGTTGAAAAGATTAGGAACTAGACGAGGATGCTCATTTTTTTTCACTGCTATTCGAGATAGCACTGGAAGTCCAACCTTGAACAATTAGGCAAGAAAAATATATAAATGACATCCAAATAATAAAANCGGGGCCTTGGTGTTATCAGCACCACACTCTCCCGAGTGAGCCACGGGCCGGCCCTCAAGAAATTTTTTGATGTCCTGTTTAATTTCTTATTTGACCCATTGGTCTTTCAGAAGCATTTTATTTAATTTCCATGTATTTGTATGGTTTCCAAAGTCTCGCTTGTTATTGATTTCTAGTTTTAATCCGTTGTGGTCTGAAAAGATTCTTGAAATTATTTCAGTTTTTAAAAATTTGTTGAGACTTGATTTGTGACTTAACATGTAGTTTATCCTGGAGAATGTTCCATGTGCTGATGAGAAGAAAGTATATTCTGTAGTTGTTGGATGAAATTTTCTGTAGATGTCTGCCAAATCCAACTGGTCTAAAGTGTAGTTTCAATCCTGTGTTTCTCTGTTGATTTGCTGCCTACATGATCTGTTCAGTGTTGAGAGGGTTGTGAGGTCCCCAACTATTGTATTAGGTCTATCTCTCTCTTTAGGTCTAATAGTGTTTGTTTTATATATCTTGGTGGTCCAATGTTGGGTGTATATACATTTATGAATGTTATATCCTCTTGCTAGATAGATCCCTTTATCATAATTTAATGACCATCTTTGTCTCTTTTTATAGTTTTTGGCTTATAATCTATTTTATCTGATATAAGAATAGCTGATCTGTCTCGTTTTTGGTTTCCATTTGTGTGGTACATCTTTTCCAACCCATCACTGTTAGTCTGTGTGAGTTTTTACAGGTGAGGTGAGTTTCTTGTAGGCAGCATATAGTTGGGCCTAGTTTTTTAATCTATTCAGAGTTTGTCTTTTGAGTGGGGAATTCAATTCATTTACATTTAGAGTTGTTATTGAAAGGTACTGTCTTCTGGCATTATATTGATTCTCATATGGTTCTTTTAAATATCTTTTGTTCCTTTCTTTTCCTTTTATAGTTTGTCTTCAGTGGTTGTTGGTTTTTTGAGGTGGTGAGATATAGTTTCTTTTTCTTCCTTGGTTACCTATCTGCTCTACCAGTGTGTATTAGTTAGTCCTTTCCTGTTGCTTATAACAAAGTACGTGAAACTGGGTAATTTATAAAGAAGACGAAATTTATTGCTTACAGTTTCTGAGGCTGGGAAGTCTGAAATCCAGGGAACATGTCTGATGAGAGCCTTGCTGGTGGCTACAGTGATGGCAGAGTATCACATTGAGAAAATCTCCTCATTTACCCTCCTTTTAAAGCCCCCCAAACCATGCCCATGACCACCCTTTTCAGTCCATTCACTACTGTATGGCCCTGCAATCTAATCACCTCTTCAAGGCCCCACCTTTCAATTACCATAATAGGATTTCCCACCCTCAACAGTTACAGTGGGGATTAAGCCCTCAGTGAGGTTGGGGGTGCATCTAATCTACAGTACAGTGGGTTTTGTTCTTTTTTGTGCATTCATGGTGGTGATTATCAGTTTTTTTTAACTCCAGATGCAGGACTCCTTTGAGGATTTCTTGTAGGGCTGGTTGTGTGGTGGTGAACTCCTGCAGTTTTTGTTTGTCTGGGAAATGTACTATTTCTCCTTCATTTCTGAAGGATAGCCTTGCTGGTGTAGTTTTTTTGCTGGCAGTTTTTTTCTTCTAGTACTTTGAATATATCATCCTATTCTCTTCTGGCCTGTAAAATTTTTGTTGAGAAATCTGCTGTTAGTCTGATGGTGGCTTCATTATAGGTGACTTGATGCTTTTGTCTTGCTGTTTTTAGGTTTCTCTCTTTATCTCTGACTTTTGCCAGTTCAACTACAGTGTGTCTCAGAGAGAACCTTTTTGGATTGGATCTGTTTGGGGATCTTAGAGCCTCTTAGATCTGAAATTCTGTCTCTATTCCAATACCTGGGAAGTTTTCTGCTATTATTTCATTGAACAGGTTTTCAGTGCCTTTCCTTTGTTCTCCCCTTCTGGAATACCCATGATTTGGATGTTTGTGTGCTTAAGGTTGTCTGATAGCTCTTGTAGATTTTTTTCATTTTTTTTTTCCTTTTTGTCTTTTTTACTGACCGGTAATGGGATCGCAACCCTCGGTGTTGCACCCGCACCGCGCTCAGCCAGTGAGCTGGAACCAGTCTCCACATGGGATCCGAATCCTCGGCGGGAGCGCTGCCGCGCTCCCAAGCGGCGCACTCTCCAGTGCGCCACTGGGCCGGCCCGAGATTTTTTTCATTTTTAAAAATCCTTTTTTTTTGGATCCACCTGAGTTGTTTCAAAAAGATTGTCTTTGGGATCAGAAATTCTTTCTTCTGCGTGCTGCTTAAGCTCTTCGTTGTATTTTTTATTTTATTGAATGAATCCTTCAGTTCCAGGAGTTCTCCTACATTCTATTCTATTCTATTATTTACTTATTTATTTATATTTTATTTTATTTTATTTATTATTATTATTATTTTTTGGCTGGGTGGTGCAGGGAACTAAACCCCAGGTGTTATAAGGCCATGCTCTAACTGAGTCTTCTGGCCAGCCCTGCTACAAGCTATTTTAAGGTATCAGTTTGTAAATTTCCTTCTTCATATCCTGGATAGTCTTTCTCAGTTCTTTGTGTCATATATCTGAGTCTTCTTGTATCTCATTGAGTTTCCTTGAGATTGTTGATCGAAATTCCTTTTGAGTCATTTGAAAGGTTTCCTGCTGTTTGGGGGTCTGGTGTTTGAGAATTGTTGTATTCCTTTGGTGGTGTCATATTTTCTTGTTTTTTCATATTTCTAATATCCCTACGTTGATGTCTGGTCATCTGGTGGAGGAGTTGCTTCTTCTGTTATCCTGCCATGGCTTTTGAGGAGAGAGACTCCCTTCTGTATTTTATATTGACTGTTGGGTAGGGTGTTTTAGTTTTGGTTCCAGGTAGACACAGTAGTGTGGTCTCTGTGTGGTTAGTTCAACCATATTCAACATTGTAGTTGTGTCTTAGTGCCTCCGTTCCCTAGGTGCTGGGACACCTTGTAGTTGGTTGTCAAAGTGAGTGACACTGTGTTGGGTTGTTGAGAATGTAGGCAAGATCTAGCATTCTTGAGAGAAGAGCCTGGGTGCCCTGTTGCTCCTTGGCCAAGGTGGGTGACCCTGGGCAGATTTGCTGGCACCCTGGCTAGTATTCCATGACCCCGATAGGTGCATTGGGGTGTACCAAAGCTCCTCAGCTTGAATGGGTGACCCTGGGTGGGGTTTCTCTTTCTGCTTTCCTGCAGGTAGAAGCTTCTCCTGGGACCTTGCTTCTCCCTCTTTCCTCCTGCCTAGTAAAACACAGGAACACCTGGGTCTGGGTGAGGCGGAACTGTTGACACCTGGGATAGGTGTTGGTGGGGAATGGGATGGACTGCTGTTTGGGGAGAAGGATGATCATGGTGGCAGTGCTCTGGGGCCAGGTGGTCATGATGGAGACAGCTGCAAGGTTGTGCTTTCCTCTACAGTTCCACATCTGGACTGCCAAGGGCAGAGCTGCTGAGCCACTTCTCAAGAAGTGGGTGAGGCCACTAGGCGGGGCTGCAGTGAAGTGGTCTGTTCAGCTTCCTCTGGGCAGTGTGCAGGGCCAATAGGCAGTCCTGCAGTGAAGGGCCTGGTGCAGCCACTTCTGGGACTGTTGGCTAGGCTGGTGGGTGGAACTCTTCAGGTTGGAGCCACCTGGCCACTTCTCTGGGAGGGGTGGATGCATTTTATTCCACAGGCCTGAGGGCATATTTGTTAGGGTAGAGACCCATGACCTGTTTTTCAGATTTGGGGGCTCAGGTGCACACAAATCAGTCAGCTGGTGGGGTTGCAGGTAGGGGGAGGATTTGGAGGTGGTCTGCCTGAGGAGGGTCTGCCTGTCTGATTTCTGGCGGGGGATGTGGTGGGTGTGTCAATTCAGCAGGACTAGAGTTGACTTGCCACACTGTAGAACAGAGTCACAGTGGCTGTGATCCCAGGCTTCAGGCTGCCAAGGTCAGGGCATTATTGCCTCTCCTGTGAATGTGTTGGATGGAGGGCAGAGCCTTAAGGCTGAGAAAGCACCATGACTACTGGTCCCAGGGCAGGGCGTGCTACTGCAAGATGGCACCTTCCCACATAGGCTTGGGTCCTGAAGGTGGGGGGTGGGGAGTGCACAGTTTGTGCCAGTGTTCTAGAGTGTTGCAGTGTGTATTTTCTAGGATGTTCCCCACACTTGGCTCTGGGCTTGTCGTGCTAAAGGATCTGTAGGCCTCTCTGGTGAGGATGGGGGTGGATGTGGGTACATTGCCTGCCTTTTCACCACAAGGGAAAATTCTTCCTGTGCCAGTCCCAGTGACAGCTGAGGCTGTGTGCCTGTCTCTCCTCTCTGTGCTACCATATTGGGTGTTTGTGTTCCACAGCGATCTCACCTGTCTCCTGCTTCACTCTCCCGCTGATGCTCCTGTCAGTATTCAGCTGTCTATTCATTGTTCTGGTCCTTTTCTATGGGAGGAATGTGCCCTGGGCACCTCTAGTCTGCCATCTTGCCTCACCTTCCCTTGTTCTTGTTTTTATTGAGCACTTCCTTACTTTCTGGCACTACAAGATGCTTCAGGTTCATCCTGTATGCCATATCCTAGAACCAGCGATTTCTCTGAGAAGTACTTTTTTTGGAGAGTGACATTAGAAACCAAGATCTGGCTTTTGTGTGTGTCTCTACTCCCTACATCTTGTTCTTTTTTTGTTCTAGTTATCATTATTTTGGACTGCAGAGGCCACGTCAACAACAGCCTGTTCCAAACAGCGATGCTGTCTTGAATTGTCCTGCCTGCATGACCACACTGTGTCTTGATTGCCAAAGGTAATGGATGAAGGGTAAACACACATGCACAGAGAACCCATCACTAATCTTTACACAAATAAGTTTGGTTATACGTAGTTCTATCAAAAGTAGCTTTTCTAATAAAGCACTTGTCAGTGCTAATAATGATTCAGTGAAACTGTGTATACATGCATATTTTGTGAAATGACATAATCTCTTAAAGGAAAAATCATTTCTCAGTACTTCCTAACACTAGATGTGTGGATTTTTTTTGTTCTACTGCACCAAGCAGTTCTCCAATTCTCTGCAGACACCAGTTGGTTGTCCTACAATTTATTTTAATTCTGATTACATGGAATTAGTGTAGACCCCACAGGTTAAGCTCAGTTTCAGAGGCCATTTGCAAGTAGTATGTTCCCACATTACCTACACTTCAATCCAACGTGGCTGCAAATTGAATGTTACCATGTTATAAAGGATACAAATGAACAGCCAGGTGAAGAGGTACTTAGGGCAAGGTTTCGAAGGGTTTAGAGTGGAGGAAATTCTGTCCCTGTGGAGTTTTTGGGTGTGACATGTGGATCTGTTCACCAACCTGGAAGCTCTCTGAAATCCTTCCTTTAGGGTTTCTATGGAGGTTCCGTTACGTAGGCATGATTGGTTAAATCACTAGCCACTGGTGATTAACTCAATCTCCAGCTCCTCTCCTCTCCTCTGAGGCTGGGGATGTGGTGGGGTGGGATTTGAAAGTTCTAACCCTCTAATAAATGCCTTGGTCTTTTTGGTGACTAGTCCTCATCCTGAAGATGTCTAGGGACTGCAACCACCAGTCATATCATTAGCATACAAAAAGACAGTCTTGGAGATTCCTGGGGTCTTAGATGCTCTTGTGTTAGGAACCTGGGACTAAGACCAAAAGTTATCTTTATAACGAAAGGTGCTCCTGTCACTCAGGAAATCACAATTGTTTTAGGAGCTTGTGTCAGGAACTGGGAATAGATACCCAATGTATATTTCTTATTATGTCACATCTCTCAAATACACTGTTTTTTTTTTTTATTGTGGTAAAATGTACATAACATAAACTTTGTTATTTTAACTATTTTTAAGTGTACAATTCAGTGGCATTAAGTACATTAACAGTGTTGTGCAACCATACCACTATTCATTTCCAGAACATTTTCATCATTCCAAATAGAAACTCTGTACCCAGCCTTTGTACTTATATTGCTTCTCTTCCAATTAAACCATAAAACAAGGTTCCTGTACTCAAAAGAAGTTGCTTCATGATCTAACAGTGGAAGTTGGCCTTGGTGAAAATTGTGTTCCATATTAATGCAGGGTTCTAGTACAATGGAGTAAACGTGAAATTTTTTAATTGGAAATTTTAAAGTTTGGGGAAATTAAGACTTCTAAGAGTATTCTTTAAGAAACAGTTCAGAAAAATGATTTGTTCTGATGCACAAGAAATATAGAGAAGGGGAAAAACATATGAACATATGATCAGCGATTCTTATAGATGTGAGACATGCAATCATGTAAACACATACATGCACAGGAAACTAAAACTAGTTATGATTGAATATATTTTTGAAAGGTTGGATTATAGTTTTACTTGGAGAAGTGCCAGTTTGCACATTCTTAATTCCTGGTGGTGGTGAAGGTGGAAATTAACATTTGGAACAAAACAGTTCAAGTTCACCATTTTTAGCCAGATAGGTATTTCTGTTGCATGAGGTTTAAGGGTAGAAAAAGAACAACTTACTAAGTGGGAAAAGAAGTAGGAAAAGATTACGTAATAAGGAGAACAAAGGAAGCATGATCTATTCATTAGACTGGTGGAGTATAGCCAAGAATGGACATTATAAAGTCAGAAACCTTTAAGCTTTTTTATTTGTTTGTTTGTTTTTGGCAGCTGGCTGGTACAGGGATCCAAACCCTTGACTTTGATGTTACAAGGCTGCGCTCTAACCAATGGAACTAACTGGCCAGTCCCCTTTAAGCTTTTAAACTTGTAGCTTTTACTGAAATGGTGACTGGAATGGCACCACCTGTGATGAGAGGAGGGCAGAGTGTCAGGCTGCAATGTGAAAACACATAGTCAAAGATTATTTAAACATTTCTTGTCCAGTCTCCAACAACTTGTCTTGTCTTTTGAATTTGAAGAGCAAATCTTTTTTCTGAGATAAAAGTTACATAAAATCAGTAGAAAAGAGGATACATTCCTTCTTTATATTATTATCTATTAAAAAAATTTCTTCCTATTCCAAAAACAACTCTTTAAAATTGCTTTTTTCCCATATCTTTACTTTGGTTGGTATTTCAGTAAGTAGTTTTTGGTGTTTTAAAATTTTATCTAAATGGATAACTGTTAAAAAAGAGCATAAATCCAAATTTTTTATTTCATTTTCCTGTTAGGCATGAATCATACAAAACTCAATATAGAGCAATGTTTGTGATGAATTGTTCTGTCAACAAAGAGGAGGTTCTAAGATACAAAACCTCAGAGAACAGGAAGAAAAGGCGGGGCCATAAGAAGATGAAGTCTAACCGTGAAGATGCTGCAGAGCAGGCAGAGACAGAAGTGGAAGAAATCTATCATCCAGTCATGTGCACTGAATGTTCCACTGAAGTGGCAGTCTTTGACAAGGATGAAGTCTTTCATTTTTTCAATGTTTTAGCAAGCCATTCCTAAACAGCGCAGCTGGCATTTAATTGCTCAATACTGTATATAAGATCAATATGGACAGTTATTTTCCTCCTACCTATTCATATCATTAAGCGACTTGAGTTATTATTTGAGGAAGCAGTATTTTATCTTTATGAAAGAGAGTGATTATCAGCCTTTATCTCTTCCCCCGTCTTTGTTTTTCCTTTAATTTTCCTCAATATTGATGGGACTGATCATTCCCTTTTTGATGGACGTTTAGAAACTGTGGGGATTTTTATTTATTAAAGCTATTTAGAATTAAAATGTTCTGGAGTTATAAGTAATCTTTGTTTCTGAGTGTTATTTTTATTTTTTATTTTGGATGTACCCTTGGTGTGATTCAACTAGAAACTTTCTGACTTCTGTCTGTATTGTTTTTGCTAAGAAGCATCTTTATTTTCCCCCACTCCCCACCCCACAGGAGGGAGTGGCGGTATTTAGTAACTGTTATAATTGCATGGAGTTGCTATTGTTGGATGTCTTCAGTAATGTAGGTCTTTCTCTAAAAAGATTTGCACTAAACAGTTCTGGTGGCCTCAGTTGCATTCTCTCCGTTTGAAAATTCAATTCTAAACTTAATGAATGGACATTTTCTTTCCTTCCTCCCTTTCTTCCCTTCCTCTCTTCCTCTCTCCCTCTCTCCCTCTCTCCCTCCTTCCTTCCCTCCTTCCCTTCTTCTTTCCTTCCTTACTCCTCTCTTTCCTTCCTTCCCTCTTTCCTTAATTTGCTTTTACTGACAAAGCAAAAGCAAATGAATGCACATTTAAAGTAGAAATTTAAGGCCGGCCCGTGGCTCACTCGGTAGAGTGCGTTGCTGATAAGGGTTCGGATCCTATATAGGGATGGCCGGTTTGCTCACTGGCTGAGTGTGGTGCTGACAACACCAAGCCAAGGGTTGAGATCCCCTTACTGGTCATCTTAAAAAAAAAAAAAGAAAGAAAAAGTAGAAATTTCTGGCCAGCTGCCCCCCCAAAAAAAGAAAAAAAAATTCATGATGAGGGAGAGAAAAAGGATTGCACTTTAAAATATTCTAAACTTAATGAATGCACATTTAAAAAATTAATTTATATTTACTGACAAAAGTGAAGGCAAATGAATGTACATTTTAAAATAGAAATTTATGATGAGGGGGAGTAACCTACTCCCCTCTGACTTGACTTAAAAATCCTGTTGCCACTTCTTGTGCCTACCATTTATTCCTTCTGTTGCCAGCAACCAAGGTATGTTTTTTGGTATTAATAATATAAAAAATATAAAAATCAGTTAGCTCACTTGGGAGAGCATGGTGCTGCTAACACCAAGGATAAGGATTCAGATCTCTATACGGCCAGCTCTCCCCTACCCCCCGCCCCCATCATCACTGGTAGCTTGGGGGATCGCATTGTAGACATCTGTGCATTTTTCACTTTTTAAAAGATTGATATGATTTAGACTAGATCTAAAAACAACATTAGAAAACTTAGGGTCTTTTTGTTATTCTAATAGAGAAGATATGATAAAATGCAAAGTAGTCAGGAAACGTGTTTTAACTTAGGATCTGCCAAACTAATTTTGGGCAAGTCTGTTCCTTTGAGGCCCACTTTTCTCATCTATAAAATGAAAATACTGGTCTAGAGCAGTGATTGCCCATAGAGGCCAGTGCTCAACAAAGCCTGAGGGGGACTGCTGTGGATTGAATGTCCCTCCAAACTCATTGGAGTTTGATTCCCATTGTAACAGTGTTAAGAGGGTGGGAGGTAAGACTATGGCAGTGTTGAAAGGTGTGGCCTTTAAAAGGTGAATGAGGACTGTGGCTTCTTGCCATGCTAGCCATGTGATAACCTGTGTTGCTGTGGGACTCTGTCCAGAGCCCCCACCAAGAAGAAGACCCTCACCAGATGTGCCCCCTGGACCTTGGACTTCCCAGCCACTGAAACTGTAAGATATACATTTCATTTTCTTATAATTACCCAGTTTCAAGTATTCTGTTATTAGGGACCAAAAACAGACTAATACAGGGAACTCTGCATATTCTATAAGGGAAAATGTCCTTCCTACCTCCTCGTCTTCTGTGCTTTCAACAAGCTAGGGGAGCTGGAGCCAGTAATGGTGTGGTTGTATGAATAGGGTGGAGGCAGAAAAATGATAATTAGTTTCTAAAGATTCTTCAATGTCTTATAGCACGTTTGATAATTTTTATAATATGCTGATATATATCTGATTGGAAGCAATATATATACTTAAAAATGTTTCAACTTATTGCTAGGTGTTATGTTATAGAGTAACACTATCGGCCTATTTATTGTAACCTATGTTTGCCATATTGTATCTTTGTAAGATCGCCTGTGTTACTGTCATTGCAAATACTACTATTTTCCCAGATCCCACAACCACCCCTCCGTTGAACCCTCATACCCACATCTAGTGGGAGGTTCTCAGTGGTCTTATCACCTGGGGCAGATGTTAAAAAGTCATGTTGTTGGGGCCTTTCTCAGAGAATATGACTCTATAATAAAAGAGGCAGGAAATTGCAATGTATAAAGATGTAATTTGTGGCAATAACAACATTAAGGGGAAGGACAGCCGCATAGGAGCAGTTTTGTATACTATCTAATCAGTTGATATAAATCCCAGTAGTTGTACATTTTAGATGACGATTGTAATCCCCAGGAAGGAATGCATTCTACCACAAAGATGTTACAAGAAGAAAACTGAAAATGATCCAAGAATAGACTACAATGTATTTAATTTTTATAAAATATAAAACTATTTACAACTATTCTTTATGTCCCTTTAACTTTCCTCTCCATGTGTTTCTATAGGTTATTAGTTAGTTTTAGGAACTCAGTGCAGGATTTCTAATGGAAACTTTTTAAATTAGTGATTTAATTTTCAAGCTGGTGATTCAAACTTATAAAAATAGGTATTTAGCCACCAAACCCACAATACTGGAAGTTGAATTTTGATACTATATTGGTCTCTCTTCTAGAGTGTAAAGTCTAGGAGAGCTGAAGGAGTGTCTATCTTGTTTTACCGGTAAGGATACTTTTGCTATAAGCAACAGGAGTCAACTCTGGGGGAGCCTGATGTGTAAAGGAATCAATGAAGCAGTATGATTAGAGGAACACAGAGTATACCATAAGAGCATAAAATGGGAACATGGCCCTTTAAACCTTTTTTTTTTTTATCCTTAAACTGTCACTGAAGGAAATTGGTAGCAAATACTGTTTTGGCTTGAAGCAGAGAGAGATGTGAAACTTTTCCACCTCAATTTTAATGCATAACTTTGAATATATTTTCTGTCCTTTTGTTTTGGTAGGATGCTATCTACAATGTGATTGCATCTCAGGTTATTCAACAATCAGCTCTTTTCAGCATAGCCTTCTTATATTTTGTAATAGTAAATGTTTTTCTCTTATTTCTGTGTTAAACAACTACACACGAATCTTTAAAAGACTACTTGTGTACCACATGTTCTCACTTATTTGTGGGAGCTAAAAATAAATAATAAACATATGAACAAATAAATGGTGTGTCAGGGGGAGAAGGCACAATCACAATAATTCCTTGAAGTTGTTAAGACAAGTGAACAGATATGATATAGTTGGGGGGAGGGGAGAAAGAGGAACAGGTACAGGGACACTAAAATCAACTACAATGTACATTGAGAAGTTAAAATAATAATTAAAAAAAGATTACTTGTGGTCTTCCTCTGCCTTAACTCCTTTTTAAAATGAAGCATAAATTATTTAATATTTAAATGAGGTGGAACTGGAATTATGGTTTGCTGATCCCACTGAAGCTGATTGTTCTTTTTCCTGATTAGCTTGGCTTACTGTATTAGTTTCTTTTGCTATGTAACAGATGTCTACACATTTAGTGACATAGAATAGTGCACATTCATTATCTCATAATTTTTTGTGAGTCAGGAGTCTGGACATAGCAGCATCTTCTACTTAGGGTCTCATAAGACTGTAATCAAGTTGTTGGCCAGGTTGCATTCTTATCTGGAGGTCTGACCGGGGAAGAATCCACTCCAAGCACCTTCAAGTTGTTGGCGGAATTCACCTCCTGATGGTTACAGGACTGAGGTTGCTATTTTTTTTGCTGGTTGTCAGCCAGGAGCTGCTCTGAGCTCCTAGAGGCCACCCACCACCTCTAGATGTGGAAATACATACAACATTAAATTTATCACTTATTAAATCTATCACTTATGTTTCAAAGGGTCCAAGATGTATCTATGTTTGTTTGGTATGTGTTTCCATGTATATCATACATGGACTGTTTGTGGTTTGTTTTTTTCTCAGCTTCTCATCCTCCAAGCCTGTAGAAACGTTGCCCTCACTACGCCCCAGTCTTCCCTTGCAGGAGTCATTGCCCCAGGCTCTCTGAACCATTACCAGAGACTTAGAACAGGAGACAAGTAGTTAGGGAATGGAAGGAGAAAAAGGAGCCCTATTCTGTCATATGAAATACTAAGATGCACCTGTACCTAATTTTGAATATTTTTCTTGTAACAGTTTTTGGATGGATTACTTTTGTTTTTAACATTTGACTATGATTGACTCATTCATGATTTGGTATGATTTCTTAGCAATCATGCATACATGGGAATTCTTGAGAAATGCAAAAATTTAACCTAATTGTTCCAAAATGTAATGAAAGTTGTATATGTTTTAAATTTAAAAATCAAAGAAATATACATATATAAATTTAATTAAACATATCTTAATTTTGTAGTTCTATTTTCTTATTTAGAACCAAGTGGTCTGTAGGTACTTGGCCTACACTGCCAAATGGATAAATCAATTTTATTTGAGTCTTCCTTCCTATGGATTGGTAAGGGGAAAAAAGGTTGGCAGCAATTTGCCAACCTCCCATACTCAAATAATTGAGTAATTTCAATAATTCTTAACAGTATGACAGATTTTTACTATCTCTTAATTGATATTGGTTTAGGGGACTTAGGTAAGCACAGGAATATTTTTCTTCAGACTGAAGCAAACTCTATAAGCAAAGAAGTTTTCATTAAGATTGTTGTACTAGGGCCGGCCCGGTGGCTCACTGCTACAGTGCGCCGCTTGGGAGCGAGGCGGCGTTCCCGCCGAGGGTTCGGATCCCACATACAGACCGGTTCCCGCTCACTGGCTGAGCGAGGTGCGGGCGCAACGATCCCGTTGCCGGTCCCGGTCCGGTACGGGTGCGACACTGAGGGTTGCGATCCGTTGCCGGACAGGAAAAAAGACAAAAAAAAAATTTGGGCTGGCCCGGTGGCGCACTGCTGCAGTGCGCCGCTTGGGAGCAT